TTTTTTGCACAAACTTTTAGGATCGTGTCGTAATGCGTGGTGCAACGACAATTTATTTTACGGCTACAGTGGTATTCAGTTGAATATTTGTAAAGCGCAAGTTTATATAATGTATTTTTGTGTTGATTGTGACATGCACAACATCAGAAGAAAGGCTTGTATAAAGAAAATGTCCCGCCCATTTTCAGCGGCGCTTCTTCCCTGCGCAGAATTAAAGGGGATTTCTCTCTTTGGCAAAAGAAACGGTGGAATGGAATTAATAAGAGCCCTAGAATTTGCTATTGTTCCTCAATATTTCAAAACTCACATGCTCTACTCCCATATGCGAAAGTTGTGCAAACGCAGAAAGAGGAATTCACTTTGATATTGATGCGTTTATCCATGCAATGCTTGAAAGACCTTTTGAAATAAGTTGTGGAATTTTAGAATATAATATGCTGATCGCGATAATGCTAACCTCTTTCCCCCAGCACATGTTTTATTGATTCTCTGTAACTTTCGAGTAGAATATCTGCAACAGATTGAACATGAACGCAGAGAAATTTATTTCATAACTTGGGGAAAACTTTTGGTCTTAAATTTTCAAACCAACAAAACGTAATTGGTACGCCATCTACTTTCTTAAAGTGCTTGAATTAGTAGCCTTAATCTCATACAACAAATTGTTTCTTTACAGCCAATGGCTCGCGTTGATGAGGAAGGAGAAGAACGAGAGGTCCGTCGGAATAATGATTGTGAAATCCATCCAAAATACTTAGTAACGCCAAACGCAAAGTTCATAGAGCATAGCAAGAAGTACTTTTCAAGGTGGGGAGCTTAGTTCAAAAAGAGGATAATATTTTGGACATCTCGGAGCAGCTCGAAATAAGTGCTGCTATACCGTAATCTGCATTTTTCAGAATGTTCAACAATGAGAGATATGCTGAGATGCTAGATCGTCTTTCACAACAAATCTATGAATATTACTACAATAATCTTGAGGTATAAGCAACCTTTGCAATTATTTTTTTAGATCTAAAAACTTACCGTCTAAACTTACCTAAACAATCCTGATTGGTGCTATCGGCTGTTCTTACTATAGTCTGTTCAATTATAAAATTGATCCACATCGGCGACGGAATTTCCGACGCGCCTTTTAGTTGTAAACCTATATTTCAGAAAAAAAAAATGTTCGTTCGCTCAAGGAACTTGTAGTTTATTTTTTTTTGCTAACTCACAGTGTCATGACATTACCTTAGGTTGTGAACTTATTCTCCATTTTTATAGACATGGGAAGACTTCGCAGTTAAAATGGCATTCATGGAGGATTTGGAACGAATTATTACAAAGAGAAAGGCAAGCTTCACAT